CCCCCCCATCCTCCCCAATCTCAATAACCATAAAGACGAAAAGCTTTCACCAACATCTCCAGTTTTCTGTCCCAGAAAGGCACAACTGCAACACCGACGTGCCCTCACAATGACCCGAGATGTCGCACACTTGGTCAACCAGCTCAAAAAGAGACGATTGCACTTTACTTAACTTTCGTTTTAGTAAGAGTTTCACGGCTCTTTTAACACAATAAGGTCACATACGTCCTAAGGTTAGACAGGTGTTACAAGAAAGTAACATGCACAAAAAAGGAAGCGAGATTTTTTAAAAAGGACTGTAGACGTTCGATAGGAAAGAAAGAGCAAACTACACCAGGGCACTAGCCAACCTCTCAGACACTTAATTAACTCACACCAAAAAAACCAAGTAGCAGACATAGATGAAACAACCAGTAACAAAATAATCTGACAGAAGAAAAGACGTTGTCTGATGGAGTAAAAAGAAGCGCATGAACACAAAAAAAGTGAAAATGGTGAAATGGTGTTGGTTCAATGGTTAAGAGGCGGTACCTCCGAGTTTAACGTCAGTCTCCGAACGGACCGAGCCAAGTGGGAAATTCGTGTAAAGTGCCTTTCCCAAGGACATAACGTTGGGCCAAGCTGAGGCTCCAACCCCGAACCCGCAATCACAATTATAAGTAAGACAGAAATATCAGAGGGAAAACAAAGAAGCAGGACCTGGCAGTGGCGTCCTCCAACCTCCCGCAGAAAATGACCTAAACAACCCGCTACCTCAGAACTGCACACAGTTCTGTCGGACTTTTTTGGCCGTTTAAGTTGCAGAGACCTTGAAGTCGGAATCAAATACTCTATTCGCTCTTTCAAAATCGTAAGATTATGAGGCTTCGTTATATCAAGACGTTCAAACTGCTGTAAAACTCCAAATTTTTTACTTCAAATTTCTAAAAATTGGGCACTGAGCAGATATAACTTTTTAAATCTGGGGTAGCTTTGTGCTAGTAAAAAGTAAGACAGAAACATCAGAGGGAAAGTAAAGGAGTAGGACCTACAAGTGGCGCCCTCCAACCACCCGCAGTATGTCTTAGACAATTGTAATAATTTGCTACCAGTGGCGCTCTCCAACTACCCGCAAAAATGATTTTTTGACAACACAATCTGCCATGGCCATGACGAAATGTTCTTTTTTCTGTTACAGTGTATGGGGCAGAGCTGGTACCTGGCTAATGACATGCAGTTCTACTTGGTCAGCCCTCTCCTGTTTGTTCCATTATACTAGTGAGTCTGTTCGTTTATACTAGTCAGTCTGTTAGTTCCATTATACTAGTGAATCTGTTAGTTCCATTATACTAGTAATTATGTTCTAGTGAGTACCTCGGAATAATGTTTCAAAACGTCACATCACCCCCACCCACCCCACCCATGTGGGCTTCTGGGTTTGTTTGTTTGTTGTTTTTTTGTGTTTTTTTTGGGAGGGGTAGTTTGTTCGGGGTTGTTGTTGTTTAGAGGGGTTTTTTGGGGGGGTTTTCCCAACAGTTAGAATAATATTCCTGGAGCTGGAGTAATGGGGTGTTCACACATACAGGAGTAATGGGGTGTTCACACATACAGGAGTAATGGGGTGTTCACACATACAGGAGTAATGGGGTGTTCACACATACAGGAGTAATGGGGTGTTCACACATACAGGAGTAATGGGGTGTTCACACATACAGGAGTAATGGGGTGTTCACACATACAGGAGTAATGGGGTGTTCACACATACAGGAGTAATGGGGTGTTCACACATACAGGAGTAATGGGGTGTTCACACATACAGGAGTAATGGGGGTGTTTACACATACAGGAGTAACGAAGCGGAGTAAGTCCAGCAGGTCGGGGCTACTCTGGATACGTTAACGCCAAGCAACCGGCCTCCCTCTACGAGTGATATTTCATGCTCACCGTGTGAAATTATTACACGGGAAGCTTGCCAAACATTTTCAAACAAGTTTAAAATTTTCGCCTAGCGAAAAATGAGTCGCCCAGTCAATAACTCGCTCGGGGAAAACTCGGGGAGGACTCGGGAAGTGTGAGAAATAGCTCGGCGTGCAAAGCTGCATACGTTGCCGAGTGAGAGTGACACGCCGACGAGATATGAAAGAAAGTCATGTTAAATTTCATACTCTGCGGGTTAAATTATTGCTCGTTGTGTAAAAATCTTGCACGGGGAGTCTGGGTTACTCAAGCACGGTGTGCAAAAGTTGACACAACGAGCATGTAACTATTTCCTGTTGCCAAGTATCGAAGAGGGACAACCAGCTTGATGTCAGGTTCCAGTGACTGCTTGCAGAAAGTGTTTGCCTTGTGGATGGTGGGACCAATTTTCTCCAGTAGTTCTTGGAAAAACTCTGGAGAAGCTCTGATGAGGTTTCTGAAGGATGCCACATCTTCAGCTTGCAGTTCAGCCATCAGCTTCTCAAAACTGTCCAAACTCATATTCTAACCCATCAGGTCTTCCTCTTCCTCATATTCCTCTTCTTCCTCCTCTTTTCCTCTTCTTGTACCAGCACAACTGCAAGGGCACCATTATTCTGTATACATGAAGTACACGTTCATCTTCTGTGTCATATGAGACATGTTGAAGGATTGAGCACAAACACTTATATAAACCTCCTTAAATATTATAACATTGCACGCCGACTAACACGGCGACGGGTCGGAGAGATGGTCAGCATGGACGGTGAGTTTGTCATGACGTCAGGGAATGAAATTTTACTAGTCCGCTGCGCTTCTTGGCTCTGCAAGTGACTAGGATTCAAACTATATTGCTCGGCAAGACACTCGGTGATATGCTCGCCTTCCTAAATTAATGCTCGGCGAGCGTCTCTTCGAGTGCTCACCGACACAATAATGTCAATAGTCATGGCCAGATGCTCGTCACGATTAAACGCGAAAATGGCATTATCTTATCGGGAATTGCTTGTCGACTCTACTCCTGTATGTGTGAACACCACATAAGCAGTATATTATTATATTTAAAATGTGCAGTTATCTTTTACAACTTGATATCTTATTTCAGAGTTAGAACTTTTCAACTCTGCCACTCTCTGTCTCTCTCTCTGTCTCTTTATCTCTCTCTCTCTCTCTCTCTCTCTCTCTCTCTCTCTCTCTCTCTCTCTCTCTCTCTCTCTCTCTCTTCCCCATTTTTATCAGCCCCCACCCCCCTCCCCCACCTCACCCCCCCCTTTTATTAAACCAAAACTAACTCATCAATACGTCTTTCCTCCACCTCCCTCCTCGCCCCACCTGTAGCAATATGTACGCAGGCCTAGCAGTGTGTGGGACGGTTCTGTTGTCCAGCTGGATAGTGACTGGTGTCCTCAGCTCAGACAAAGATTGGATAGCCTCGGAATTTGCCATGACGTGAGTATTTTTGTCGCTTACGCACGTTAGTTTTTTTATGTTTTTATGTTATACTACCTGGGCACCCTTTCGATGAAAGGAATGATCGGTGCTTGAATATCAACTAAAAATCATTGGCCTACTATATTTACATTCTACTGGAATGGGGCAATAAATTTGGAGAGATGCAAAAAATTATAAGGTCTAGATCTATACTCTCAAAACAAAATGCGCCTCGCGAAATATCACTTCCGGATTTTCTAAAATTACAGAGACAGAAGTGTCGGCCTACAAAAGCGATCGGCGAAATAAAGAAATTTAGATTTTTGCAGCAAAACTGTCTCAAAACTGAAAAAACCAAGGGCGTCATGCTCTGGAGAAAATTTTAAAGAATCTTTTGGCGAAAACCACATGTCGATCGATGCAGCCATTAAACAGCCGTTTGAATAGCAACATTCGGCCACCACAAATAGATAATAGATATTGATTTGTTGTTGTTGTTTTGTTAATTTTTGTTGTTGTTGAGTTGTTGGTGGGGGGTTTTTTTTGTTTTTTTTCTCCCTGTTGTTTTGTTTTTTTAGTTATTTAGTATGCGTTTCTCATCACGATTTCAACACAATTACATCACAGTGTTGTTTGTTGTTGTTGTTGCTGTTATTGCTGATGTTGCTGTTATTGCTGATGTTGCTGTAGCTGTTGTTGTTGTTGTTGTTGATGATGATGTTGTTTTTGTTGCTGTTGTTGTTGTTGTTGTTGTTGTTGTTTTTGTTATTGTTGTTGTTGTTATTTTTTAGGGGAGGTTAAAATAGATTTGTTTAATAAGCGTTTTAAGTCCCTTACAACGTAACTAAATCACAGTTCCTTTTTCCTTGGTTTAGTTTTTATTTTTGTATGTTGTTTTTTATGGGGGGGGGGGTTGGTCTTAAATTTATTAAGCAAGCTTTTTCCATCACTTATAACATAAGTGCGGAAGATTAAAAGTGTTGCACACAATGGGAGAGGTAAATAGCATAATTTATTATTATTATTATTATTATTATTATTATTATTATTATTATTATTATTTGATAGGTCAGCTCTATTCGGACTTGGGTCCGAATATAATTTTTATCTATTAGGACTCGAGTCCAAATATGGGCTGTATCTATTCGGACGCGGGTCCGAAAAAAAGGCTTTATTTATTCGGACTCAGCTTTTAAGGGAGTTATGTGAGTGTTAGGAGGTTACATTATATAAATGTCATGGGGGGGGGGGGTGTTGCGTAAAACCAGAATTAGAACTAGAATTGCCAACTAGAACTGTGTAAATGTGTCAAAAGTCAAAAGACTGCACTCTCATTAGATCTACCCAATGTCTTTCCACATATTTAATTTCATTTTGTTGTGTGTAATAGTTTTTCTGTAATTTTTTTTTTTTTTTAATTACATCGAACAAAATCGACAGCCGAGGCCTCTTCCCACACCTCTTTCCCCAGCAAGCCGGGAGTGCAAGATCGCTACGCGCAATCTCATTGGTCGACATAATTAACTTTGCCCCCGGCAAGGTCAGCTCAACTTAGTCGTTCAGTTCATACTAATGATGCAGGGAGGGCCAGTTTAGATAGATATAGATCTAGTAACGATATTAAAGCACACGTCTCGACTGTTATCTTTGTAATCGAAAAACAGTTCGTACATGCTGGAAATATTTAGGAACAAGGGTCAGAAGTCGGAACGGACGTCATGCTGGACTCAATTCAGAGACCAAAATTTAATTTTTCTCTATTCTGACTCGAATAGTCACTTCGTATTTGATAACAAAGAAGGAGCAAACCACTCTAGAGCATGCGGCTCTCGTGGCCAAGAGGTTAAGGTGTTCGCCTCTCATATATTCAGTAGGTGCCGGGTTAGAATCCGGAATTTTTTTCTGTTCTAAATTTTGTCTCCTTTCTCCTCCTTTCCTGCTCTCGAGCAATGTTCTGTCGACTGCTTTTGCCTCCGCTTTCTGCCCCCGTCCCATCTCCTACTTCTCCTTTGTCCCCAATTCTGGGCTCCTGACTCATTCTGCAGCCTTTTTACTGCTATTCCATGGCTCCTTGTTACTGCTGTCTTTCAGCCACACCCTTCAACTTATGGTAGGAAAGACCTACACCGACATTGGTGAAAAATCCCAGAAGTCCCGTTAACAAGCTGTGCAAATTCAAGATCCCTTGGTGGTCCAAAAGTAGGCCGCGGCCACCACCGAGGCAAAATTCAAAATCTACTACAAACTGAAAATATTAAATGTGTCCCACGTGCTCATAATAATGACCTTTTGCAGTTGCGAGTGCCGTATGTAAACACTTACAACAACAACAAAACTACCAAAAAATACTAGAGTACCCATCAACCACCAGCGTCCAAATTGTGCCAGCCTGTTGTCCTCAGGTTCACTAACCCACAACTGGAGAGATTTACAGACTACTACATAGCTCCCTACACCAGAGTAGGACCCTTCGTCATTGGGATTTTGGCCGGCTACCTCATGGCGCGACACGGCGGCCAGATCGCCATGAAGTGGGTAAGGCCTGCCCTTCTTTACTCTGACAGCTTCATGATTTACACTTAGTTCAGTTTAGTTTAGTCTAAGTTGAAAGTTTTGCACCACTTGCAACACAAATAGGTCACAAATAGTCGGATGCCAGGCGCTTAGTTTGGATTACTTTAAGTTAGAGTTTTGCTCGTGCTTGCATAGCTGATTATTTGTAATATCTTTCGTCCTTAGGTGTCCTAGTTGTGTTGCAAGTCCCATAGAACTCTTACTAAAACAATACCTTGCAACATCTTTAGTCCTAATCCTTCCCCCTTCTTTTTGTGTTGTTACTCTATTGTGACACTTCTAATTTTCGGCACTAATAAGGCCCAATTGTGTTGCAAGTACCACAAGCGCTTGTAACACAAATAGGTCAAATAAGGGCCGAAGATCAGAGGAATTACTAGAGAGTAACATAACAAAAAATAGGAGAAGGGGTGAGGACGCAATATGTTTGAAAGAAAAGAAGATGTTTGACTCTTCCATCGAGCCCCAGTCCCTCCAAAAAATAACCAAAAAGCCTCCTTATTTGGGTAAAATTGAGTTTTAAAAAATATGGTAATCTACATAATGAACCGGAAATACTTCACAGTGCAGGATCTGATATTTCACAACACAAATCGATAGGAATGGGCTATTTCCTATGTGGTGCAGCGTGGTGCCACAAACTTATATGATTGGCTGAGCTGTTGCTATGGCAACCGGCCTTTTGGTTGTTTAGAGTTCCCATTGGAGAGTAGTAAGATTCTCTGAGCTCCAATTCGAGATAACACAATCCTTGTCGTATATTTTGCACAGTTGTTGTCGTATATTTTGATAAGCTTTATGTAATTTGTTGCCCATTTTACATCGGCAGTACGTGGTGGTCATTGGCTGGGCCGTTGCCGTGGCAACTGGCCTCGCGGTTATTTATGGTATCCATGACGACATAACTGCTGAGGACCCCAGCTCTACAGAAGTTGCTGCTCTCTACAACACTATGGCCAGGTCGGCGTGGTCTGTCGCCATCAGCTGGGTCGTCATTGCCTGTGCTTCTGGATACGGAGGTGAGAATTCGGTTGGTTTAGATACATTTTTGATATTGCAATATTGTGTAGCTTATCAAGTGTATCTTCAAACCAACCTTAACATACCAGTGCCAAACATGGTCCCTAAACAATGCACAAGAAAGAAAAAAAGCAGTGCATGCGAAATGAGGTGTCTCTGCAAAGTCATCAATGCCAGAAGAGACCGCATAAGGAACGAGAACATACGCCTACAAACCGGAACACCACCAGTAATAAATTCCAGTCCGTGTCAAAGAGTCAAATGGTTCGGACATCTAACCAGAAAGTGACAGAAACAACTAGCCACAAGAGCTTACCACTACCGCGAATCCTGCTTCAAATCTAGAAAAAGAAAAAGTAGAACCTGGCTGGACGGGGTTCAAAAGGTCGTGGAACAACATAACATATCTGTCACAGACGCCACACATTTAGCACAGGACTGAAACCAGCACCTTCCCTCGACATCCCAAGGATACCAGGGAAAGGAAAAAGTAAAAGTAAGTAACAGAGTCAGTCTTTCAATCGCGAGAAGAATCAGCGACACGGCTTACGAGAGACCTGCATGGGTGGTTATCGGGAGCTCTAGTGTTGTTTCCTTTTCCTTTTCCATCAAACATCTACCGTCCTTAACACTCCTCCTTCTATCCTTTGTTTCTCTAACAACACCTCTAAACCTCGGCACTTTTATGATCGGTTCTTCAGTTGCCGTAAACCTCATACTCAATCAGAACTAAGAAAACTGCAGCTAAAAAGGCACCAACCAACGTTAAAACTGAGGAAGACTTTGTGCCAAAGATTTAAGAGTCAATATAATCATTATGATATTATACATCTAATATTCGCCTCATATGGGTAAGATATCCGTTAAGAGTCTAGATGAAATTTTAGAATTTTGATACTATATTTGTAGAATGGACTCAAATTGCCATTGCTCTGTTATTGAGACACGTTGTAAAATGGACTCAAATAAATTCCCATTGCTCTGTTATTAAGACATCTATAATGTAATTGTAGTAATATTACTACCCCCATTGACACAGTTTGGATCATACATACGTATATGTTCTTAACAAAATTTTAACACGAAGAGCCAAAGTCCAAAACCAAGTAGTATTTAGGGATTTAAAAAAAAAAGAAAAACAAAACAATACAAACAAAACAAAAACAACCTGACATTCCTTTCAACGTTTACTCCCCTTTAACGTTTGAGGTATTTCCCTGGCCCCTGTAAAATTGTGACAACTAATTACAACCTTTTCTGACTCAAACGACGTTTTAAATAGTAGAGAAATGATTTATTCCCCCCCCCCCCCCAGGTCCTGTGAACTGGCTCCTGTCGTGGAAACCGTTGATCGTGCTGAGTCGTCTGTCCTATCTCTGCTACCTGATCCACCCGTACATCATGTACATCTACTTCGGCAACCATGGAGATGCCTTCATGTTCAACGACTCCAACATGGTAGTTTTATTCTTTGTTGGTGTTTGTTTGTTTCGTTGGGTTTTGTTTGTTTGTTGGTTGGTTGTTTTTGTTGTTGTTGTTGTTGTTAGGTTCTATTCTGCTTTTGTATATTCCTCATGAGCTGTCGTTTGCAATTTGCATCAACCAAAACGTCTTCATTTGTTTTTCTAGCTGTCCATGGTCGCAAAATCTCAATGCCGTCTCGCCGTCGCCAATTCGGGTTCAGGGGTTTGCGTGACGTCACGCAGCATGTGTCTTTTGAACCACAACTCTGTCGCCTCAATTGTTCTTTCCAGCTGCCTAATGATTGTCCATACACCCGTATAATAGGATTGGCTCGATGTAACTATTTTATTTTTTTTTAACACCATAAAAATCCTGCATTATCCAGATCTTTCCCCTTCACACATCTGTGTTGGGCCGCCACCAAGCAGGTTGCCCTGGGTTTACCCTTGCCTCGTTTACCTCCAATTTTGCCAGTGAGAGCTAGATATTCGAGGCCTTCATTTTCATATCTATTCAAGTGTCCCATAGGAGAGATCTACACCCAGCCTTTTCGGACAAGGACGAAAAATCTCGGAGATCCTATGTGCAAGTTGCGAACGTTAAACATCCCTTGGTGGTCTAAAATCGATAAGAGTAGATTTCCGCCGCCACCCAGGCCAAATTCAAAATGTCCTACCAACTGAAAGTGTTTAGTGTGTCCTGTACGCTCATATGACCTTATGCAGTTGCGAGCGCCGTAAAACACTTACCAAATATTTTTAAAGTGTCCCATTAACTTCACTTGTCTTTTCCTGATTGTTTATAACTCCTTCATAGCCTATATGACGTACGCCGTTCGTCACTTTTTCTTACACGACGAACGAGCGAAGATGTGCGTTATTCGTCATGCCCTGTGAAGCGCGAGGACCATGATGACGAATGCCGTACATTATAGGTTTTAATCTGCATAATAATGCTCCTATTAGAAACATTTCGCAAAAACAAATTGCAGATTCTCATTTGGGAACAGTTTTTTTTTTTACAAAGAAATCTTTTTACTTTAGATATAGTTCGTTGTATTTGCAAACGGGTCTAATCGTAAGAAACTGACCACTAAATCTAGTGTTAGGGCGATAACATAGAGAACACCGAAACTTAAGCGGCTGAAGATCGGCGCTGACAGGCGCCAGTAGGTGTCTGATTGACTCTACAGAGAGGGCGCCTAAGGCATAGATCTAGATCTAAGAAAAAAAATTACACCACAACACAGCTGGTCTTTATGAAGCATTTATTTGAGGATTTTAAAAAATTGAAATTCTTAAAATATTGCTTAAAGTGTAATTCTGCTCGGTTGCCACCCCAATTTGACGACGCTAATTTCACAAATGTAATTATTGTAATTAGTTTTTGTCTACCGTGAAGCACCAGCTCTGAAATGACCATTTAAAATTGTCCCCAGTCCAGGTGGGTGACGTCACGCAAACTGCTGTACCCGAGTTGGCGACGGCGAGACGGCATTGAGAGTTCGCGACCTCAGTGCTTTCTTGTCGCATCTCCTTTTTAAATAATAGTGAAAACAGTTCACAACAAAGAGTGAGCTTAAGAAGTAGTCACATTTTCACTGTTAAAAAATGGAGATACGACAAGAAAGTACTGAGGTCGCGAGTAGACAGCGAGGCGCCCTTCCCAGTTTTTGGGCGTAATAAGAATGTAGTTTGGATTTCGATAAAGCCGACAACGCCGATCGGTGCTTAAAGCCGCCTGCAGTTTGCCAGCTCTATGTGGGGCAAGGTGGAAATCATAAGGGAATTTTTATACTTATCGGCACTTACTGAGTCAGTCTCCGAAAATAGCATTCTCTATGTTTTCACCCTTAGTCTGTGTCCCTGGAAGTTCCAGTCTGTCCATTAAGCACAAACTGACTCTGTGTCACGAAGGGGTTAATTGGCGAGCGGCGCACGTGGGCTTTTTGAAGTACTACTGGTACTTCCTTTGATTTCTTTCCATTCCAAGAAATTCTCAGCAGTCTAGTAACTACTAAGGAACCACACGTTGCTTGCTTCTTATTTTATCTCCCCTGTATTATGTGATTGTAATCCACGGGTTTTCTTCCTTCTATCTCTCCCCAGATAGTTAGCTTTGTGGGCCTGTTGGGTATCTCGTGTATGTGCGCCTTCCTTCTTCATCTGGCCGTGGAGACGCCGATGGTGGAGCTGGAGAAGACTTTTCTCAAGAAGCATTGATGCTGTTGGGACATCGGTGGATTGTGTTTTTTTGTGGGCGGGGGCGGGGGTAATTTCTCTGAGTTTATAGGAGATAATACTGATTGTTTCGTGGTTTTTTAATGCTTTGTTTCTTGTTTTTCTTATTGTTTTGTTTTGTTTTTGTTTTGTTTTGGGGGGGGGTTGGGGGTATGTTTGATAGTTTGGTTGTTTTTTATGCGTTTTCTTTTTGGAGAGGGGGGGGGGATAGTTTGTTTGTTAGTTTCTGAGCGTCGTTAAAAGCTATAACAAGAATACGATAACGGTGTCTCAAGTGTATGTGTGCCTTCAGACTTCACCCTGCTATCGAGACGCCGATGGTCGAGGGAGAAAAAAACCTCTCTCCGCAAACACAGATTGGTGGTGTTGGGACACTTCTTGTGGCGTCGGTAGTCTGGAAGTTAGGCTACAGGACTCTTAATCAGCAGATTTTATTGTTAGAAAAGCATTGCACTTTGATCGTTTTTCTGTTGTTTCCTATATCAAACATGGTGAGTGGCGTCGATAGTCTAGTGGCTAGGCTACCGGACTCGTACTCTTGAGATGGCAGGATCGGGGGTTCGAGCTTCAGCTCGGTGAGACGTTGTGTCCTTGGGAAAGGCACTTTACACGAATTGCCCACACTCAGCTCGTTCCTTTCGGAGATGGACGTTAAACTCGGAGGCCCCTCCTCTTACATAACTTTACAATGTTGATAGGGGCGTTAAATCTATACCATTTCAGAATGGTCAAAAGTACGGTTGTCTGGGGGGGGGGGGGGGGTAAAGAGGGGGGCTATGGGAATGGGTTTCGTAAGGGAAGATGGAATGTGCGTGTGTTTTGTTTTTGTTTGTTAGCTAGTTTTTTTACGAGATGTTTTTCTTTTTTTCGAGGGAGGAGGCATGTGCCGTTTTATTTTATGCAATGTATTTCGAGGTGGTTGGTTTTTTTTTTTATTATGCTTTATTCATTTGGGGGGGGGGGTTGTTTTTGTTTTGTTTCTTTAGGGGGAGGTGTTGGTTGTTTTTAATTAACCGAAAAGTGGTGTTCTTTGTTTTGCGTTCTTTTTTCGGGAACACAGAGAGTTGTCGCTAAAGAGATTCACATCGACACGAAAAAGGAAAAACAGTTTAGGGTAGTCCAAAAGCACCTTTCTTAGAGAACAGACGGATGACGATAAAAGACCAGGACAATGTATGTTTTTAAGAGCACTCAAATAGATAGAGAAATGAGGAACCATGCTCGTCGATGTTTGCTTCATATATATGGCACTCCCTGACTATAAATTGATTATTAAACCATATCTTTATTATTGTAAAGGTTGTTGGTTTTTTTAAGTGATCTTAAGCGTACAGATAGAACATACCATGAATGTTGTTTTCCGTCTGAAGGAGCACCCGAGTCCAGCACTAGTAAGACCAATACTGTTGTAAGCTGACAAAACGCCTTTTTTAAAATTCTTAGGTGTTTAGAGATAAAGGGGCTTTTGTCAGCTTCACTTTAAAAATAACGTTTGTCAGACATTTGAATTCTAATTTATTCAAAATCTAGTCACAGTTTCACTCTGATTTTTTTCACGCAAGTAGGGTAACTGATCAGGCTTTCGATTTAACAAATAAAAAAACTGGCACCTATAACGAAAAAAGGCATTTTGCCAGCTTACGGCAGAGTATCTCTTCTTTGTTTTGATGAAGTGTTTGTACGTTCGATCTACACAGTTTAGATCATGTAGGAGGCGGATTTCCTCCCCTGTCTGTTACGACCACAGAATGTAGTACGAGTAAAAACCGGTGTCTCTTCCTCTGCGTACAAAACTAGTAATCTAATGGGAGACTACTTCATTAGGTAAAAAAAAACCAACAAACAAACAAACCTGCCATTTTATTCTTTACTGTCGAAATTTCTTATATCTGGTAGTTAGCTGAGCATACTCTTCCCTAACCTCCACTTTGCAAAATGTTTCTTAAAATGTTCAATTACCTGTCTTTTCACAATAAAACTTTGAAGAAAAGTTATCTTCTTTCAATTTTCACTGATTTCTATTTTCTGTTTCCAAAAAAAGAGTATTCATTAAAGAATTTATATAACACATTTTCTTCTTCCTATCATTTCTTATTGTTTTCTTTACTTAATCACCTAAACCAGGGCTAACATAGTTCTACACACAAAACAGCCACGCTTAACAATTCCTAAATAATCTTGATCTGACATTGTTGGTATTATGCTTCCCTAGAATTACAAACTTATATCTGCTCAGTGCTCAGTGCCTAGTTTGAGAAGTTTGATGTCAAAATATTTCATAACTTGTCAAGCTTCTCATAACGTATTTTAAAAAAAATATCTCAATAACTACTCTCAATAATGTTACGATTTTGATAGAACAGAAAGAACATTTGGTTTTTGGCCTCGTGGGCTTACTCTTAGTTACTCAAAGCGGCCAAAAATGTCAGATAGAACTTAGTAATTCTAAGGTAGCCAGTAGTGAGGAGACATTGTAAGGAAAAAACAACAAACTTGTAACAACCTGACAAAATGAGTGGCTTAGCATTCAGCTGTTTTGAGATACCAGGCAAAACCTTGACCTTCTCACAATGGTTTGGACATCTGACACGTACGGCAACTCCCCAGCTTGTCAGTAAAGCGTACTACAAAAGAATATCAGGCTACATAGCAAGAGGAAGATCAAGGAAGACCTGGGTCGCATGTGTCAACGACACCCTTAAGACACACAACATCCCACCCAGCAAGGCCACCCAGCTTGTCATAGACGAAAGCTGTTTCTCCCCTCGACGCCCTAGAGATACAAGAGGACGGATAAAAGAAAAGCAAAGGTGTGATATAACTGTGGAACAAAAGCAGCTAGACCGACACTGTGTTCACCTCAGCGTTTTGTTTGAACATGACTCAAAATGTCATGTTGTTACACATATATAAATATATATAGTACTGCATGTTATGTGCAAGGAATTACAGAATAGCAAAAGAAAAACAAAATATGGAGAAATTGAAAAATCTGCCCCTGTTCACTTCATTTTGCTGAGGTCTAACATGGGCCATGTAGGCCTACCGTGTAGAAGCACTCAGAAACAAATTATCTGCTATATGTATAACAGGCACCAAATGAAACTAAACAGAATTTGCATAAAGCCGTTTTTATTCTAATGACTGCATTTTATATTATGATTCTTAATATGTCTTTCAAATTATGTTACGATCATGTATTTAAGTTGAAATAAATAATTTGATATTGAATTACAGTGTTATCATTATAAGAAAGTATAGTCCAAATGTCCCGTCAGTTACCGTGGAAAAGCCCGCTTGACATTTGTATGAGCCAAAGGGGAAATGTGGCCATGAGGTGAGCTGCTCATCTTTCAGGCCAAATGTACCGGATTCGAACTCGGTGCGTACTGACATGTCCAATTCAGATTTTTCTCTTCTGTTTCATCTGTTTCTTCTTTTTTTCTCTTACGTAAAAAAAACAACAGAAAAAACAAAAAAGGAAAAAAAAAAGAATGAAATGAAATCAAAGTACCCACTTTCGCTCACACGCTCATTCAGTCTCTCTTGATTCTCGGATACGGAAGAAAACTATGGGAGAGCCTGTCTGCATATTGTGTAAAACGTTAAATTCCATTGAGGGGTGGGGTTTGGGCGGGGGGGGGGGGAGAGAAGTGCTGGCTTTTGTTTTCACTTTCAAAACATGATCAAGTAAGAGACCGTAATTCAGGTGCTACAAGCTGGTGTATGACGAGAACAATAAAAACTGGGTAAGAGTTTAATTATTAATTTCGTTTACCCCTCACTTGTGTAGATCTATAAGGCGCTGTATATTTCGGCCTTCAAAAGATCACAAGTCTTATTAGATATAACCCTCAACATTGCACCCTTTCAATACGAACTCTGATCCTCAAAACTATCCTCAACTGTCAGTTGCTCACATACATTATTTCAGTAAGGACGCTTAGACATAGTCAATTGGGGGGGGGGGCGTCAAATACTCGTATAACAGCTATCTAGTTTCAAAGTGCCCAACAAATCAAACGTTTTTACAAGTAGCATGCAGGGTTGTACTAGCGAGGGCTGAACTGTTCGGAAATATGGGGTCTGGTTTGGGGGGGGGGGGGATAAAGTGGTTTCATCGTATTGTGATGACTCCACTCGCTCCGGGACGGCTAACCTACAAGGCATGGTTCTTATAGTTATCACTCTGGATAAACGATCTGGTTAAAAACAATAATTATGGGGAAAAAACCTGCATGCAAGAGATAAAAATATGCTAAACACGGTATGTACAACTCAAATCAACTTAAGAGCACAAATATTAAGAAGAGATTGAAAATACAGATGCAAAAACAAAAACACAACCCACAAACCTTCAAAATGTGTATTTCCATCTTGATGCCACCACCATAGTATGAGACTTCGTGCAAACTTTCGGAGCTTTTGGTGACACTGTAAAGACGACTCCACAAGGGAGCGGGATAGAGGGTGCCCGCCTCGCGACTCGACAGAGAAATGTAGAACTAGCATAATCGGAACAATTAACTAGACCTACTAACCAGTTTCTGTAACAATGTCGGGTTAGAGTCTGTAACAATGTCCGGTTAGTGCAGAGCTATTGTTACTTAGACCTGTAATTTACTGATAAACGTTATAAAAATGAAGTAACATGTATAAGATTGCGCTGCACGTTTTAACGATCGTATAATTATATCATTCTTGTGAGCTCTTCGGTTTCATATCTTAATTTTAATTCTGATTTTCTTATTTTTACAGATTTGAAAATACGTAGATGTTCCTTGGTGTGAGTAAAATAATAAAGCTCAAAGTGAATTTTTTAACTTTGAGTTTGATACCTGGCATTGCATCATTCTTGTGGGCTCTTCAGTTTCTTACGTTAATTATAATTTGGCTTTTAATTTTTTTTTAATCTTACACTTTTGAAAATGTATGAATGTTCCTTGATGTCAGTAAAGGAATAAAAATGGAAGTGGTTTTGTTTTTTAATTATTAAAACGTGCAGCGCAACCTTAATATTGCCGCGCAAATATTCGGTCGTTAAAAATAAAAATCTTAAGATTGCGCCGATCGCTAAATTGAGAGGAACATATAATGTATAACATTCGTCATATGGGTTTACACTAATTCGAAC